TCTCCTCCCCAGGGTCATTGTCACTCTGGGACCCCCCAGTCCTTGTTCCTTGGAGACCCCCGAGGTGTCACTGTCACTCTGGGACCCCCCAGTCCTTGTTCCTTGGAGACCCCCGAGGTGTCACTGTCACTCTGGGACCCCCCAGTCCTTGTCCGTCAGAGACCCCCGAGGTGTCACTGGCACTCTGGGACCCCCGAGGTGTCACTGGCACTCTGGGACCCCCCAGTCCTTGTCCATCAGAGACCCCCGAGATGTCACTGTCACTCTGGGACCCTCCCCAGGGTCATTGTCACTTGGAGACCCACCCTCAGTGTCCCTGTCACTCTGAGAGCCCCCAGTCCTTGTCCCTCTGAGACCCCCGAGGTGTCATTGTCCCCTGGAGTGCCTCGGGGGTGTCCTCTGTGTCCCCAAGGTCCCTGGGGTGGTGTCCCCAAGGTCCGGGCTTGTCCCGGGTGATGTCCCCAATGCCCGGGGTTGTCCCGGGTGATGTCCCCTGACCCGGCCGTGTCGCAGGAGCTGCGCTCGGCCCTGCGCGACCCCTCCTCGCCCCGGGGCTGTCCCAGGGTGATGTCCCCAGTGTCCAGGGCTGTCCCGGGGTGGTGTCCCCAAGGGCCGGGGTGGTGTGTCCAGTGTCCGGGGCTGTCCCGGGTGATGTCCCCGTGTCCCCTGACCTGGCCATGTCGCAGGAGCTGCGCTCGGCCCTGCGCGACCCCTCCTCGCCGCGGGGTGATGTCCCCAAAGGCCGGGGCTGTCCCGGGGTGATGTCCCCAAGGGGCGGGGCTGTCCCGGGTGATGTCCCCGTGTCCCCTGACCTGGCCATGTCGCAGGAGCTGCGCTCGGCCCTGCGCGACCCCTCCTCGCCGCGGGGTGATGTCCCCAAAGGCCGGGGCTGTCCCGGGGTGATGTCCCCAAGGGGCGGGGCTGTCCCGGGTGATGTCCCCGTGTCCCCTGACCTGGCCATGTCGCAGGAGCTGCGCTCGGCCCTGCGCGACCCCTCCTCGCCGCGGGGTGATGTCCCCAAAGGCCGGGGCTGTCCCGGGGTGATGTCCCCAAGGGGCGGGGCTGTCCCGGGTGATGTCCCCCGCACCCGCCACTACCGGCAGCTGATCCCGCGCCTGCTGCACCGCCCCGGCTCGCCGGCCGCGCCGGGGGACGGCGCCGAGGCGCTGCCCCTGTCGCCGCCGCCTCCTCCTCCTCCTCCTCCTCCTCCGCCTGCTGCTGCTCCGGCCGTGGAGAGCGCGGCCCCGGCGGGGCAGGGGACGGTGAGTGCGGGCAGTCCCGTTGTCACCCTGGGACCCCCGAGGTGTCATTGTCACTCTGGGACCCTCCCCAGGGTCACTGTCACTCTGGGACCCCCCAGTCCTTGTCCCTCAGAGACCGCCGAGGTGTCACTGTCACTCTGGGACCCTCCCCAGGGTCATTGTCACTCTGGGACCCCCCAGTCCTTGTCCGTCAGAGACCCCCGAGGTGTCACTGTCACTCTGGGACCCTCCCCAGGGTCATTGTCACTCTGGGACCCCCCAGTCCTTGTCCGTCAGAGACCCCCGAGGTGTCACTGTCACTCTGGGACCCTCCCCAGGGTCACTGTCACTCTGAGAGCCCCGGTCCTTGTCCATCAGAGACCCCCGAGGTGTCATTGTCACTCTGGGACCCTCCCCAGGGTCATTGTCACTTGGAGACCCGCCCTCAGTGTCACTGTCAGTCTGAGAGCCCCCGGTCCTTGTCCCTCTGAGACCCCCGAGGTGTCATTGTCACTTGGAATGTCTCGGGAGTGTCCCCAAGGTCCCCAGGGTGGTGTCCCCAATGCCCGGGGTTGTGTCCCCTGACCCACCCGGTGTCTTGAGAGCCCCCGGTCCTTGTCCCTCTGAGACCCCCGAGGTGTCATTGTCCCCTGGAGTGCCTCGGGGGTGTCCTCTGTGTCCCCAAGGTCCCTGGGGTGGTGTCCCCAAGGTCCGGGCTTGTCCCGGGTGATGTCCCCAATGCCCGGGGTTGTCCCGGGTGATGTCCCCTGACCCGGCCGTGTCGCAGGAGCTGCGCTCGGCCCTGCGCGACCCCTCCTCGCCCCGTGGCTGTCCCGAGGTGATGTCCCCAATGTCCTGGGTGATGTCCCCGTGTCCCCTGACCCCCCGGTGTCGCAGGAGCTGCGCTCGGCCGTGTGTGACCCCTCCTCGCCGCGGGGTGATGTCCCCAAAGGCGGGGGCTGTCCCGGGGTGATGTCCCCAAAGGCCGGGGCTGTCCCGGGGTGATGTCCCCAAGGGGCGGGGCTGTCCCGGGTGATGTCCCCGTGTCCCCTGACCTGGCCATGTCGCAGGAGCTGCGCTCGGCCCTGCGCGACCCCTCCTCGCCCCGGGGCTGTCCCAGGGTGATGTCCCCAGTGTCCAGGGCTGTCCCAGGGTGATGTCCCCAAGGGCCGGGGTGGTGTGTCCAGTGTCCGGGGCTGTCCCGGGTGATGTCCCCGTGTCCCCTGACCCGGCCGTGTCGCAGGAGCTGCGCTCGGCCCTGCGCGACCCCTCCTCGCCGCGGCGCCGCCCCGGGGCGCGGGTGCGGCTGAACCCGCTGGTGCTGCTGCTGGACGCGGCCCTGACCGGGGAGCTGGACGTGGTGCAGCAGGCGGTGGCAGAGGTGACACCGGGGACAATGGGGATGGGGGGACACAGGGGACATGGGGACATGGGGACAATGGGGGGACACAGGGGACAATGGGGACAATGGGGGGACACAGGGGACAGGGCCCTGACAGCCACGGCTGGTGGGGGACACTGAGGGGACAGTGGGGACATGGGGACAATGGGGACAATGGGGGGACACAGGGGACAGGACCCTGACAGCCACGGCTGGTGGGGGACAACGGGGACAATGGGGACAATGGGGACATGGGGACAATGGGGACAATGGGGGAACATGGGGACAGTGGGGACACAGGGACAATGGGGACAGGACCCCGACAGCCACGGCTGGTGGCACACTGAGGGGGGACAGTGGGGACAATGGGGACACTGCGGAGACAATGGGGGACATGGGGACAATGGGGGGACACAGGGGACAGGACCCTGACATCCACGGCTGGTGGGACACAACTTTCGGGGTGCGACCCCTGACTTTTGGGGTGCGATCCCTGACTTTTGGGGTACAACCCGACTTTTGGGGTGCGACCCCTGACTTTTGGGGTGCGACCCCTGACTTTTGGGGTGCAATCTGTGACTTTTGGGGTACAACCCCTGACTTTTGGGGTGCGACCCCTGACTTTTGGGGTGCGACCCCTGACTTTTGGGGTGCAATCTCTGACTTTTGGGGTGCAGTCTCTGACTTTTGGGGTGCGACCCCTGACTTTTGGGGTGCGACCCCTGACTTTTGGGGTGCAGTCCCTGACTTTTGGGGTGCAGTCTCTGACTTTTGGGGTGCGACCCCTGACTTTTGGGGTGCAATCTGTGACTTTTGGGGTACAACCCCTGACTTTTGGGGTGCGACCCCTGACTTTTGGAGTGCAATCTCTGACTTTGGGGTGCGACCCCTGACTTTTGGGGTGCAATCTCTGACTTTTGGGGTGCAATCCTGACTTTTGGGGTGCGACCCCTGACTTTTGGGGTGCAACCCCTGACTTTTGGGGTCCCCGGTGCGGCAGGACGCCCCTGCACTGCGCGGCCTCGTGCAACGACACCGGCGTGTGCGTGGCCCTGGTGCGCCACGGCGCCGCCATCTTCGCCACCACGGCCAGCGACGGCAGCCTGGCGGTGGAGAAATGCGACCCGTACCGCGAGGGCTACGCCGACTGCTCCAGCTACCTCACTGGTCCGAACTGGGAGCACTGGGAGAGGGGCTGGGGGCCATGGGACATGGGGGATGTGGGGTTATGGGGTACTGAGATTGGGGTTTATGGGGTTCATGGTGCGACCCGTACCGCGAGGGCTACGCCGACTGCTCCAGCTACCTCACTGGTCCGGACTGGGAGCACTGGGAGCACTGGGAGGGACTGGGAGAGGGGCTGGGGGTGGTTATTGGGTTGTGTTCTTGGGGTTAATGGGACTGGGAGGGACTGGGATGGACTGGGAGGGACTGGGAGAGGGGCTGGGGTGGGGAATGGGCAGTGTAATTGTGTTTAGTGGGACTGGGAGGGACTGGGTTATACTGGAAGGGATTGGGAGAGGGGCTGGGGTGGTTATTGGGCTGTGTAATTGTGTTTAATGGGACTGGGAGGGACTGGGATGGACTGGGAGGGACTGGGATATACTGGGAGTGACTGGGAGAGGGGCTGGGGTGGGTGTTGTGTCATGTAATTGTGTTTAATGGGACTGGGTTATACTGGGGGGGACTGGGGGGGACTGGGAGAGACTGGCAGGGAGTGGCAGGGACTGGGTTATACTG